GCGTGTGCGCCGAAGCATTTGAACCCCGACCCATCCCCCACGCATGAGCACACACGGCTGGGCTGCCTAAATACGACGGGGAATCCAGCAGTTGAACCAGTCTTAGTCGGAAAGCACTAGGAGATCACTTCGCCCACTGCCTCATCGCCTTTGATAATATCCACCGTAGTTGTGGACGAAACATCAGGAAGAAATTCCCATAGACCACGGCTTCAAAGCCCGGAAAACATTCCTAAATGTGATTTAACCGGCCGTGAAAGCCTTCTTAGTCTGATAATGCGAAGAATATTCAAAAGTCATAAATTTCACCCTAACAAAGTAAAACTTGTACATGAACTAAACGAAGATGGTGATGATGATAGAAGATTGGAGTTCTGCAAACAAATGAGTAGACGGTTGCTCAACAATAGACATTTGCTGTTTAATATTTGCTTTTCAGATGAATCCACAGACATAATTGGAGTTATTGGAGGGACCTGAACTCGTTTATTTAGAAAAGTTCATTTGCAACATCCTCAGAAGTTAAACGTTTGGGTAGGTATATTATGAAATAACATTGTAGGACTTCTTTTTGCGAGTTATACTTGGAGATGCCGGCAAATATCCCATGAATCCATTAATTACGGAAATAATAAAAGCGACGGTAACCATAACGCTAACTATCTCCACTTTCAACACGATGGGGCAGCACCTCATTATGTAACTCCTGTAACGCAATTTTAGATGACAACTTTCCTGGTCGATGGATTGGTACATGAGGTCGAAGTCAGTGGCCACCGAGGTCCCTAGCTTCACCACCGGATTACAAATGAGTGCACAAAAATAACTTCAGATAACATGGCGTCCGCAAGATCTCCGCAGAAGATTTGGTGAAATTCGTTATTAGTTTATGGAGGAAAGCGGAAAATACGTGGACTAATACACCTAACAGCGGAACTACAACATTTAGAACGGACATTCATTCAAAACAGATACTATGGAGCAGTAGGGGTAAACTGTGCCGAAAAGAATCATGACACTCAAAGAGCCTTCCTGAGCTTCATTCCCAGAGTTACGGGCAGAATTGGGACGATCCTAGAGAAGCACAACATAAAAACAATCTACAAGCCCACCACGAAGATCCAGGAATGTCTAAGGTCGGTTAAGGACAGAAGACCTTCCCTCGCGACTACAGGTATCTACCGAATCCGAAAGCGTCTCCATAGAAACCACGAAGAGATCGGTTAAGGCGAGGATGGACGAACATAGACGAAATTGCAGATTGGCACATGTGAAAAAGCCACCAGTGGCGGAACATATCCTCAGCGAGAGAACGCATTTTTTTCTAAATCTACCAGGAGAGTCATAAATATGGGTGCGACCTTTTCGTTGGGCCACCCTGTATAATATTTGTTACACGATTCATATAGTTTCCTCCCGTACAATTTTGCCTGTTTCATGCCATATTAAGCAAAAATTTCAGTTTTTTTTTCAATATTTGCCCTACGTTTCAATTATGCACGTTTATATACGCGTAAAGTAGCGACAGTCCAAAACGTATAAATTTGCGAACATAAATAGTAGATAAATAAAGCAAACACAACGAAAAAATGATAATAATAAGCAAGCAAATGGTGAAACCCGAGTCAATTATTACGACGGTAACTCAAACTTTTCGCATTTACTTAACTTCCAGGTGACAGCAAATTCGCAGAAATTAAAAACCAAGGTAAGAAAAACTCCCTGGAAACAAACTTCACTTAAATTAAAATACACAACGAAGTTCCTTTTTAAGACACTGATATTGTTGAC